TGTTATGCATGCCTTTAATTTTTTTTTCCTTCTACATTCGCATTTCCTTTTCTGTGTTTTTAGCAGATCAGAACCACCTATCTTTTTCATTTTAAGAGCCATAATGTGCTTGAGTTCTTATTCTGAGCAGGATAGACTTGTTGAAGGAGAAAATGAGTAATCCAAGTCTTTCAGCTGTGACTGCTTTGTATCCCATGTGGCTTTTCACCTATTTTTTGCTTCTTTATTAGCACCTTTTACTTTTGTCAGCTAGAGCAGATTGAAAAGTAATGGTGAGGTCCAGCTGCTAAGTTAATGCTGACAGAGAACAAAATCATTTTGGAGTAGGCAAGTAAATTCCTCTGTAATCTGCTTCAGTACTTTTGGTATGAGAGACATTGTTTCTATTCAATTCAGGCAGAAATGTGGTTTGAATATGAAATACTGTAAGAAGTCAGGCTCTTTTGAAGAATCAACTAAATCCTCAATTAAACTACATCGTCCCATTATTTATATTTACTGCTTTTAAATCAGCTACCACAAAAACTGTTGTGGAAAGAAAGCTTCACAAGGTTATAAATAACAGAAGAGGGACTTGAATAATTTAAACAAGCTGCTTGAAATAATTGGATGCCATGCACTGCATATGATCAGACACTCAAGTTCTTTTCCTTGTTGTCAGTCTTTTGATCCTTTGCCTGACATCAAACAAAGAAGTGGCAGATACAGAAAACTAGGTAGCTGGAGCAGAGAAGAATGAGCTGAAAAAAACAAACACCATATCAAAAGAACTACCAAAACCCAACAAAATTGAGGTATGACTGCTTAATCTATCTTACAATGAATCTAAGACTGAATAGGTGTAGTGGGTTATTTTTCTCCTCCCCCTGTGTTTTTAAGCTATTTTTCTGATCCTTTTTCTCATTTTTAAGAACTTTTGTGTATTTGGTTTCATTTTGTTTTTAAGAAAGGAAGGATGCTCCTTATTAAAACTTCAGCTAACAGGGAGTGAGGTTGCCAGGTCACTGTGATTCACCTCTCACCCAGAGAAGTGAATAAAATGTCCATATGATTAGTATCTTTTCTATCCACTTCAAGACCATAAGAAAGAGCAATCTTTTCTATGGTCCCATATCTCCCATATGATAACATATCCTTTTATGAGAGTCCTAAAAAAGGTGACACTGTGTAAGGACTTGGGAATTAGTTCTGTCTTCTTACTTTTAGACCTTAGCGAATTCTCTGGCTGCAGCCACTGCACAAAGAAATGACACGAAGTACTGTGTTCTGCAAACGTGAGAGTGAATACGTCCATCAGAAGGCATCGGCTTGTGTATTTTCGCAATGCTCTCCTTTATTGAAAGTTTAGCAGAATTTTAAACATGTCAGAATTAGAAAATGTTGTGCAAGGAAGTGCTGAGAACCTGTATTCCAGTTCTTAGCTCTAGTATGACCCTAAAGACTTCTGCGGATTAGGATAAGAAATTTCATAGGAAGTCCTGTTCAGCCAATACATGCTCTCCACACCTGGGACTGAGTGTATCTGCCAAGTTTGTGGAACATGTCCAAACAGTGATTTCCTCAGAAGATGAAAACTTTCAAATTTGGATAGCACAGTCCACCATCCCACTTTAAAACCTCTGTTAAAAGTAAACAGAATACTGAAAAAAGGAGGATGGGGATACAGAACTGCTGTTAACAGAGCTTGTGTGTCTCTGACTTCGAACCAGTTGTGATGATGTTTTTGAAGAAGAGAGCACATTAGTAATCATGACAGGGAAGCTGACATCAGACAGTAATGTTATGAACAGAACAAAAGAGGGTCTAGGAACCTTCTTTATAAATAGGAATTTTAAATAATAGGAGCTGTTGTCTGACTTAAACCATTAGCAACATAATCCATTTCACCTTTAATCATCCTGTTGTCACTGCAGGTTTAAACATTAAACAAAATTACTGTTGAAGAAATATTATGGCTTATTATTATAATTATAATATTATAATACATAGATTTTTATGAGTAACCTAGGTACTTCTTTAAAAATATTTTAAAGGAAAGTCATTGCATGAATAACGACATTGTAAAACTGGACATGTAGCTCCAGTGTTTATTGCACCTCAGTTATTCCCATTTTAAATAGATTGAATTTAGCATGTGAAAAAAAGCAAAGTTTCTTTTTCTGAAATAAAACATTTAAAATTTCAATTTCTAATCTGTGGACACAGTTGCTGTCCTTAAAGATTTTGCAGACCAGATGCTGATGTCTGTAATACTTGCACGATACTTTTGCCTTTAGTATTTTTTGCAGATTGCTCTATCATGGCAAGAGGTTCGTGGTGATACCCGAGAGGGAAGAGAGTGCAGATTCATAGAGTTCTAGTTCTGACTCAGGGATAAGCTGCATATGTATCTTGCTCCTGAGTTTCTCCAACAAAGATACTTCCTAAGAGATAGGTCTCTCTAACATCATTAGAGTCTGGTATTTACCCTACGTAAGGGAGGACTGGGAGCATATAAACTGCGTGTTTATTTCCCTGAGGGTTTGACAGACCTGGATTAGTCACTGCTCTCTCCTCACTATCAGTCCCTTAGAGCCTCTTGCCTGAATGGAACTTGACTGTGCCTGGCTCTGTTAATTCCATTTTGGGATGGAATTCCACAGATTAATTATTCTTAAATTACAAGAATTAATCTTACATTAGAATATTAATTTTTCTGTTCACTGGTTGTACTAGGTCTGTTTGTAATCTATAGCAGGAAGACACCATGCTGCATTCTGTGATGCTTTCTGCCCTTTCTGCATCAACCACCTGCCGACAACCGACTTCTCTATTCTTAGGCAGGGATTTTCAACAATTCACTGTCATCTCGATTTTAGATCGCAGCCTGGGAGTTAGTTTCACTAACCCTGGCTGGAAGCAGGAATCTCATTGATAACCTATTCATTGTTCATTCAAAGACCCCTCAGATATTCCTTTAGAAGGCTTGTTTTCATCATAATTTTGTTTCTTGTTTTGCCTCATGCAGCACTCTTCTTTCAATGTAATTCCATGGAGATAGAATGCTTTTAAAAGAGATCAAGTGAGAAACTCGTTCATTTAAAATAAGTCTTTGTTCTCCCCCATTAATAGCATTTTTAGTAGAGAATCCAGAAAGCCATTGTAAGTCGTTGAATACACATATTCTTAAGTCCATTGTAAAAACAGAGTTGAAAATACATGGAGTGTCTCAGAGTAATTGTTGCCAACACTGATGTGTCTACCTTAAGCCTTGTTTGTCATTGTAACAGCAATAGAAACCAAATATGTGAGGATGATTGTGACTAAATGTTTTAAATATTATAATGAAACACAGGCTGCCTGGCTGCCGCTGACTTCATGGATCTCCATCTCTACAAAGAATTAATGTAAAAATGAATAATGGTTTGCCCTGCTCCACCTGTGTAATATATATTCTGTCATCAGTTTTGTGGGAGGCTGACCTTTGTCCTTATGATTTTTAGTTAGTGCTTTCACTGTTTTAAATACAGTGTTGCCTAAAGAATTTCTGATTTTTTTGTTGTTGTTGTTGTTTTTGCCTTATGAACCAAGACAAGGTAATCTCTCATTTCTTTTAGCATAGTCTAAGATCTTTCCAAAGCTCCTAGCAAATTAGTGCTGTGGTTGTGTATTAATATAATATTTTCCATGATCATATTTTACTTTTATTTTAAGGCTAAGAGAATAAAATTCAGGGGGAGACACTGTGGGTACTGTGTAAAAATACCTGTATATTTCTGTGTCATGAACAACAGAACTACATTGTGGTTGTATTCATGTATCTTTGACTTATACATCAAATAACTTAAACTATCCTTTTGAGATCTCCAATGAATTTACACAGCAAGATTCTTGCAGTTTTTCACACTTACAATGTGTATGCACTATTAAAACATAAATGTCAGTGTATTGCTCACATTAAAAAAAAAGGCATTAATGCTCTGAATTTTCCACTCAAAATGCCTCATTTGCAGCTGTTATTGAGGATTGTTGTGCTTTTTTCTTTCTTTTACAGCTGTAAAAATAGAGAACAGTTTCCTGAGGTCTGTGGAGTAATACTATGAATAAACTGATGTGAGAGAGATTTAGTTTATCATTAAACCCACAAAAAGTCATTATCAGTTCTGTTACCAGATTGCCCTGTACCTGGAATGTAAAGCTGAGAATCAGAAACAATATGTTATGGTTTTAATAAAATATTTGATTCTTATTGCCTCCTCACCATCTGCCCCATCCCACCCTGCAGAAAAAAAAGCAGAGAAAGGGAATCTGAAATTACGGACTAGAGCAGAGGGCAATCATGTAAGCAGCTTGTGTGTAAATGCCTGCATGTTTGCACATTTGTTCCACTGTGGAAAGTAAACCATAAGAAACCATTTTAGAAGACCTACTAAGCCTGGCACGTATTTAATCAAATGGGTTTTGGTTATTCTTCAGTGTCACTGACTTCCCTGATGTTGATACCAAGGGTTCATCTGCTTTTGAGCTAGGATTTTTTTTTTTGTATGTTTGTTTTTTAATTGCTAGTATTTTTCTACCGGCGCTCTGCAGTGTGCACACATGCTCTTCTGAGAATTCCCAGAATTCTGACGAAGAGGACAGGGAGCTGCTACATCACCTGAAATGTGTCAAATGGATTGCTTTCAGATATCATCATGCAAACTTGTACCAGTGCCACAGCTGGGAAGCTGTTTTACCCAATTTACAGAACATGGTTTGTACATGTAAAAGTCGACATAGTTAATATTTGAAAATCACAACTTGTCAGAAATGATAAATGCTTTAGTAACTTTTCCTTTCATTATCATCTCATTTATCAGACCTATAGTATTGCAAATTCTTCAAGGGTTATTTGGCTGTGTATCTCTGTACAATTATGGCTGTTTAAGTAGTTACAATCTGCTAAGTGAGCTATCATAGTATCTGGATAAGTCATTTTGACAGTCATAATGTACTAATTCTGTAACAACACTGGGAGGATGACGAGGGTTGTTGCTGGGGGGTTTTTGCCAGTTGAGGCTGCCTATTTTTCATTATCCATGAAACGGATGTTAATGCATTTTGGACTGTTTGAAAAAGTTCTCTCAGGTGAGATTTATCTGCTTGAGAGCACCACGTTTCTCTGGGTTCCTTCTGATCCACAGGAAAGTGCTCTGCCCAGAGCCCTATGGAGCAGCCAGGAAAACAAGTGACTATGCAAGTGGGCAGTTTTGGGTCCTGAATCCAAGTTGTTCCCAGGTGTTTGCTAGGCTTTGTGGAGGTGGCCCCCATCACCTGAGTGTGCAACTCTGTCCTACAGACAAAAGCCTTGGCACAAGCATGGCTGCTTCCCTGTATTATTTCATTTCTAGGTGTTGTCTTCCTTTGCTGTGGGGTATCAGGTGTTGTAATGGGTTTTTTTACCCCGATTTCCCTGTCTGTTCATGGTGATAGAAGGACCCTGGAAAGGTTCCTGAGGGACAGAGGTCACTGGGTGGGTGAGATCAGGGATGGATTTCCCACAGGCAGAGCAGTTTAACTTATGAGAAACCGGTTAAAGTGCGTATTTTGCAAAAAAAAATGCCTAAGTTGCAAACAGAGCTATGTACTAATGGAAGAGTAGCTGAGTTTTTTAAGTAGTGTATCGTTTGTCTCTCTCTCTCTTTGTGTTTCATTATTTTCCTGTGTATTCAGTTTGCAAAGAAATCATAAGCTTTTTCTAACTGTTACATCTATAAACTCAGCCCAGTCTTACAGAGACAAAACCTTTTATCTGAAATTTTACTGGGAATAAAGATTCCTTGATGTTTAACTGACAACTGTTCAATCCCTCTGTCTTCAAACTGTGCCTTTAAAAATACTTGTAGAATCACACTATTTTGCTCAAATACAATTATGACAGATGGCCTGGTCTTTAGGCTTTGCAACCACCTGCAAGTTCTAGTGAAGTCCAGAGGATCAGCATTTACTCAATATATCTGGAAATGACGCTTTTAGTTAATTATGTACAAGAACAAGCATGATCCACTTCACTCAGTTTTAGTTATGTGCTGCAGGGCTAATAGGAGAAGAAACTGTAAACAGTTATTTGTGTCCTGAGAGCAAGCAGGTATGACTTTTGAGTAAAGAAAACCAAGCAGTATGGATAACACTGTTGTTATTGGTCATTTCTAGAAGAGAACTTTGCACTATATTCATAGAGAGAAAATACCAGTTGTTAAATTAAATCAGAATGTTCCAAAAATATGTAAGAATTTTAATGGCAAAGCTAACAGAGAAGCTGTTTTCAGCAAATGCCCTGGCAAGCAGTTAGTCAATTCTTCCTTCCAGAAAACCATTTGTCACCCAAAAATTCATGTCTGTTTGAAAAACTGTGCCGATGCAGCATTTGCTTCCCAGGACTAGGGCAAAACATTCACAAAGTAGTACTGCCACAGCCAATCAAATTCTGTTTGTCCAGTCATGATGGTGTAAATGCAAATACTACTAAATAGTGTTAACTGCAAAAATGACTTGGAATTAACTTTACATCTTGATGAAATACTTTGTGTTTCCTACCATGTATATTCAAATATTATCATTTACTTCAGAAACTGCAAATATAATTTGTTTTGTTACATTGTTGAGGAGCAGTTAAATAGAAACTGTATAGATATTTCCTTGCACTTTCTAAATTGCTGAAATGATTTATTATTGTGCAGTTTTCATGGAGTTACGTTTTTATTGCTTTATACTGCACATGTTGGGTTTTAATATTTGCATCCTTCATTCCATTAATTTCAAATTAAACATTAAATTGCAATGAAAGTTCAGTCATAGCTCCTAAAGCATAAAAAATAAGCTTTGATCTTCACTTTCTGGAAGGAAAGTGGGGATGGAATACAGACTAAGTAGAAAAATAATCTGTTCTCTCAGCAAGATCTGCAATATTACACATAACAGCATCTGGTAACTGTGAGATCTGTGTTCATTTCTGTACTACAAGGTTTAGTTTTATTGTGCTTCAGTTAACCAAGGATAATTTAGCCTTTAGCAATTATGGATTTTACCAGTACCCAGTAAGAAAGCCTTTTGCCATTGAAATCAATGTAAATTTTGTACCTAATCATTAAGACCCAGGTTGTATTTTTTACTTCAACTCTTATTTTCAGGTAGTCTGTCTTTTTTTTTTTTTTTTTTTTTTTTTTTTTTTTTTTAATGTGGTATCTCATTTGCTCAACAATCAGATGCAGAAACATCCTTGGGAGTTCACATTATAAAACATTTAAAGGGTTGGCTCTGCAAAGACTTATTTCTATAATTAAATTCCTACCTCTCAAAACTCCCACGGAAATCTTAACTCTTAAAGATGCAAAACATGCCCAAAGAAACAAAGATTTAAAGTAATTTAAAGGAATAGATAGTAAAACCAGAAATATTTTGATATAGAGTTGAAACTGAAAGATGTGTCCACAGTGTGGTTTGCTCCATGTTGAACTCAGAATCTTTCCATTGAATTCAGTCCAGTTCTAGTCATTCCTGTGTGCACAGGCCTCAGGACTTGGTTTTCCAAGAACAGCAAGTGACTTATTCAGATGCTGATTTGAAGGAGAAGGTGAAAGAATGACCCCTGTTACATCCCCAGATACTGAAATATTTACAATATCATGTGTCTTTTGAGGACAAGAAATCTAGTGATTAGAAATTCCTAGAAAGTAGGAATTAAATCCAGGGATGAAATCCCAGACTGATCATAATCTATGACAAGTGCTACATTTTCAGAAGGCTTCACATTCCCAGTCTCTTACATGTGTAAAGAAGCGAGGAAGTGTCATTTTTCTAAAAAGTTTAAGAAAAAAGGGCACAAAATTCTGTGATTCTGTGAAAATGCAGCCGGCTATGATGTCAGTGAACAGCTCTCAGACTAACATAGCCAGAAATGAGCAGCAGAGAGGGACCAGAAATCAAGGAGAAAGAGCAAAATCATGGACATGGTAAAAATGTGATTTATCAAAAATACAATTTTACAGAAGTAGAAGAATTCTGTGGATGTTTTGATAGGTTCTGCCATTTCTGCAGTGCTGATGGGATTTTTGAGAAGACTGAACTGAAAATCTGACCTTTGTCTGAAAACAGTTATTTTGATGCAGCTCAGTTTCATGAAAAGTTTCAAATCATTTTTAATTTCACATTGGGGAAAAAAGGTAACATCATCTTCAAAGCTGCTGAACAACAGAATTTCTGCCCCCTGTATAGCTCCAGCTCAAGAGAAAAGATGAGGGCAATAAATAGGATAACATCTAAGAGATGTAGCAAATAAGTAGGGTTTTTCTGTATGCTAGATGATAAGGCACAAACCCCAGGATGTTGATCTCATTGTGACTTCGAATTTACTGTTTAAAAAACCTCATTGCATTACTGAATAATTAAGATGCATGAGAAATCCTATTGTGAAATCCGAATATAGATATAGAGCCCCTGTTTTTACTATGAAGTTCTTAATGGTTGTTCTGTATCTTTAGGTTCAATGCAGAGGCAGTTTGTATATCCAGTATAGTTATTTTCATATCAGTGTGAGTATAAAAGCTTAATCTAAGTTTCTATGTAGGAAAAGTTACTTTATACTACTACTGATCATACCATTATATGAAAGATTAAAGTCTACAATGAGCCTGAGATTTACTGGTGCACAACACCCCCCTACCAATATAAATACAATGCCAAGGGTCTGTGCTTCTGAAATTTTGATGGCTGGAGTCCCATGTGAATCACTGAATATATCAGAACCTTGTATGGCTGACACTCCTGCATTAAAAAGCAAGGATCTTACTAAATGCTGAGTAGGTGTAAGGTATTGTCTCATCAAAATCGGAGATTTTGTACTGCTTAAGTATTTGTGCTGTTATTAGCAGAATCAGAAGCTGAAAATAAGGAACCAAATATCAAATAGCAGTTTCTTGAGGGCAGCTCTGGAAATATGGAGATAGTCAGCTCACATAGCTGAGGTTCTTACACCTCTAATGTGTAAAGTATTCACCATGAGCAGGCTAAAGTAGCCCTACATAAAGCTGTGGTAGGAAGTCTCTCGTACTTCTATGCCTAAAAAAACAGGCTTTCTCATGAACTGCTTATGAGTGACAATTCACTACAAACCTTTTCTGCCTCAAAATGGAGCTGTTTACTGACTGAACTATGGTCAGTGGCTGGAACCATTTGTTGACTTACTGGTGATGGTGGGGCAAGTAACCATATGCTCAAGAAGAGCACAGTATAGAATGGCATCAATACTTACCTTTATAAAGGTATGGTAGGAAATAAACTATATAGAAAGATTGTAAGGCTCAGAGGAGTAAAATAAGCTGAAATAATGATAGCAGTTCTAGGTGTTCACACAAAGTAGAGTGCAAATATCTTCTATTGCGAGATGTGCATTTAACTTTTCTTTTGATGTTATCTTCACTATGTGATTTCAATTCTGATAGAAGGCCAGATGCTATAATTTTGACTATGTTATTTTTCATCTGTGATGATGCTTTTAGTAGAAGCATGTGTCCAAAGTAACTCATCATGTCTAGAGATCGAGTCCAAATTATGACTTTACACTTGGAGCTGAATATTTCAGAGTATTGAAAGACATACAGTGGAAGTAAAAACAAATAAAAAAAAAAAAAAAAGCTGTGATCAGGAGGAACCATATGGTACTCTTGTAACAATTAAACTCGGTGCTCTACTTTACTGCACGTCTGCAGGATGCACAGATTAAACCCTTGTGCCCAGGCTCCATGCCAAGATTGAACTAATGTTCCTAAGCCTTTCATTTAATCTGCTTCTGCAAGAGGAGGCCATAGCAGAGTAAATAGCCGAGTGAAAACTTGGGAATGTGTAAGCACTTTACCTCTTCCCTAACCTCCGTCTCACAGTGTTCCCTCTCATGTGTGTTTTTATGGGCATAAGGTGAAACAGCCCTGAGGTACCTAATGCGCTTCTGACATATTTTACTGTGCATGTTAACAAGAGTTTAGGAGCCAGTGAAAGAACCCAAACTGCATCATTTTCCTTTTATCTTGCTTCATAGACTACCAATGCAGTGAACATTCCACGATTATCCAAAGGTATTTTGCATTGCACCTCTCTAAAGCTTATTTTTGCAAACCTGACATGTCTGCACACACACTTTGGAGAAAATTCTCACCAAAAAAATCACTTTCTTTGTCCTCACTTCATTTAAAA